TTCGAGAAGGTATCGAAAGTAGCCAAGTCCGTGAGCATGTGGGTCATCGCCATGGACAGTTTCAACAAGGTCTACAAAGTGGTTGAGCCAAAAATAAAGCGAAAAGAGGCCGCCGAAGCGGAGCTCAAGGATGTCATGAAGGTGCTTCGCCAGAAGCAGAAAGAGCTGGCCGCTGTTGAAGCTAAAATACAATCGCTGCGCGACAGCCTGGAGGAGAAACAGCGCGAATTCCAGGTCATACAGGACAATGTGGATCTAACGTACGGTCGCATCAATCGTGCTGGACGTCTTACCTCGGCACTTGCCGATGAACAGGTGCGCTGGCGTGAAACTGTTAAATCACTTACCGCTGATCTTGGCTGCGTACCTGGCGATGTGCTGGTTGCCGCCGCCTGCGTTGCCTATTTGGGCGCCTTCTCGAATCAATATCGTCGCGAAATGAGCCAGTTGTGGGTGGACAAGTGCCGGGAGTTCAGCATAGCCTCGAGCAAGGAGTTCAATCTGCTTAAGGTCTTGGGCGATGCGTACGAGATGCGTCAGTGGAATGTCGACGGCTTGCCCAAGGATAACATATCCATTGAGAATGGCATTTATGCAACGCGTGCCTTGCGCTGGGCACTCATGATCGATCCGCAGGAGCAGGCCAATCGCTGGATACGCAACATGGAGAAGGCCAACAATCTGCAGGTAATCAAAATGACAGACGCCTCCATGATGCGGGTGCTGGAGAACAGCGTGCGTCAGGGCCATCCGGTGCTGCTGGAGGAACTGGACGAGACCATAGATCCATCGCTGCGACCCATACTTCAGCGTGAGACGTACAAGTTTGAGGGACGCGTCTATCTCAAGCTGGGCGATCAGATCATTGACTATGATGATAATTTTAAGCTCTATATGACCACCAAGCTGCCCAATCCGCATTATCTGCCCGAAGTGTGCATCAATGTGACACTGGTCAACTTTCTGGTCACCGAAAGCGGCCTCGAAGATCAGTTGCTGGCGTAAGTAAGCCAAGGTTTGGATGGAAGGTAACTCAGTTGTAAACCTTGACTTACAGAGACATTGTCGCCATTGAGCTGCCCGCCATGGAGGCGCAACGCAACGATCTTGTGGTCAAGATCAATGCGGACAAACAGCAACTGCTATCGCTGGAGGATAAGGTGCTCAAGCTGCTCTTCAACTCCGAGGGCAATATTTTGGATGATGAGGAGCTTGTGGAAACGCTCAACGATGCCAAGGTGAGATTCTGACCAAATACTGGGTCAGCAATCTAATCTGTTTCTGCACCTCGCTCAGGAAACATCATTGATTATTGCCGCACGTCTCATTGATACGGAAGAAACGGAGAAAGTTATTACAGCCTCGCGTGAGCGTTATCGCATCCTAGCATCTCGTGGTGCCATTCTCTACTTTGTGGTCGCCGGCCTGGCCGAGATCGATCCCATGTACCAGTACAGTCTGAAGTATTTTACGCAGGTCTTTTGTAATGTACTACGCCTTGAGCATCCCGTCATGACCGTCGAAGTGCGCATCTCCACGCTAATGGTTGATGAACTGAGGGCTATATATGATAATATATCGCGCGGTCTATTTGAGAATCACAAGCTTATCTTTAGCTTCCTGCTAGCGTTGTCTGTGGAGCGACAAGAGGGTCGGGTTAGTGAAGAAGAGTTCAGTTTCCTAACTCGTGGTGCTGTTGGCGCTGTGCGTGCCAAGGCGCAGCCACCGGGCTTGAAATTAAGTCAAGTTGAATGGGATTCGGCCTTATATCTGGAGCAGCACTTTAAGGATACCTTTTCGGGCTTCTCCGACGAGCTGAAAAAGCCGTTCTTTTTGCAGCTGCAGGACAACAAAGAAGTGTTCGACTTCGCTAACACCAAAGAAGAACCCACTGATAAATGGAACAAGCGTCTGCACGTCTTCCACAAGCTCATGTTCATAGCCACGTTCCGGAAGCCGCGTTTCCTGCTCAATGTGGTTAGCTACCTTCATTCAACCGTGGGTAAATACTTTACAGAAGTCTCCGCCTCGGGCACACAGCTGAGCACAGTGTAAGTAGAGGGCTTTTGTGGTGTTTTCCATTTTAGCTGGGATCTCCAATGTTTTAAACTCTCCAGCTATCTGGACACCTCGGCTGTAACACCATTGATCTTTGTACTGTCCACCGGCTCGGATCCCATGTCGGGCTTCCTTAAGTTTACCAATGAAATGAAATTTACAGAAAAGTATTATTCCATATCATTGGGTCAGGGCCAGGGTCCACTCGCCGAAAGTTTGATTGATAAGAGTTTGCGCCTGGGTCACTGGGTCTTTCTGCAGAACTGTCATCTGGCCACCTCCTGGATGCGTGTGCTGGAGACCGTAGTACGCAATCTGACGCTGGGCATAACCAAGGCGCATCCCGACTTCCGTTTGTATCTCTCATCCATGCCCTCACAGACCTTTCCCATCAGTGTGCTACAGAATTCCGTCAAGATTACCAATGAGCCGCCCAAAGGCATTAAGGCGAATGTTATTGGTGCTCTGAGTGACCTGAAGACGGACTTCTTTGAGCAGCACATCCAGAACGGCACATGGCGCGCGATTGTCTTCGGATTGTGCATGTTTCATGCGGTGCTTCTGGAGCGTCGCAAATTTGGCCCACTTGGCTGGAATATCACATACGAGTTCAGTGAGAGTGATCGCGAGTGCGGACTGAAAACTCTGGACTTCTTTATCAATCGTGAGGTCAAGGCCGACATACCATGGGAGGCCATACTCTATATCAATGGCGATATCACCTGGGGCGGTCGCGTTACCGACTACTGGGATCTGCGCTGCCTGCGCACAATATTAACCATATTCTCGTCGGAGCGCATTATACAGCCGGATTATAAATATTGTCGAGGCGATTCGTACTATAGAGATCCGCAGGGTAAAACGCTTAAGGAGTACGCAACGTTTGTGCTAGGCTTTCCGGTGCTGGAGGATCCCGAAATCTTTGGCATGAACCAGAACGCCAACATTGTGTTCCAGACGAAGGAAACGGAATTCTTTATTAACACACTGCTACTTGGTCAGCCGCGTTCCGCTGCCGATGAGGGTCAGGCCATGGAGAATGATCTCTGCCAGCAGATTATAGCACACATACAGTCGTCCCTGACCAATAAGATACAGCGTGAGCCCATCCACGACACCCTGACCGTGGTAGGTAGCAATAGCTACTAGTCGCAAGCCAGAATCCGAATATTTACACGACTTTATTCCAGCTGGATAATAAAGGTCAGATGCCGTCGTTGACTACCGTCTTGGTGCAGGAGATCGATCGCTTTAACATTGCGCTGGGCATTGTCCATGACAGCTTGAGCAATCTGTCGAAGGCGATTAAGGGTATAGTTGTCATGTCTGAGGATCTGGAGCTGGTGTTCCGTGCACTGTTGGCTAACCAGGTGCCGGCCATGTGGGCCAAGCGCAGCTTTCTGTCGATCAAACCGCTGCCCAATTATATTGTGGACTTTCAGCGTCGCATCGACTTCATCCAGCAGTGGGCGGAGAATGGTGCGCCACGTTCCTATTGGATAAGCGGCTTCTTCTTTCCGCAATCCTTCCTCACCGGCATATTGCAGACATATGCGCGTCGTCGCATCCTGCCCATTGATTCGCTTAAGATTGACTTCCAGGTCATCGAATTGGAGCTAGTGCAGCAGGATTTCTTTGAGCTGCACAATGCACATGGCAATGTACGTCCACAAATAGCCATATTTAATCAACTGATATTTGATTAATTCACTCTATATCCCGACACAGGACGGCCGTCTCTATGGCAATCTGGAGGAGTGCACGGATGCGGAGATCAATGTGCATGGCATCTTTGTGGAGGCCGCTCGCTGGGATCTGAGCAAGGGTGGATTGACTGATGCCCGCTTTGGCGAGCTATATTCGCGCATGCCTGTCATACGCTTCATGCCCTGTCTGGAGATTGGCACCACGCTCCGCTATGAGGCGCCGCTCTACAAGACCCAGCAGCGTTCCGGCGTGCTATCCACAACTGGTCACTCGACTAACTTTGTCCTGTCCATATTGTTGCGCAGCAAAAACGATCCCGAGTTCTGGATAATGCGTGGCACCGCACTTGTCTGTGCCGTCATGGAGAATGTATCCTAAGGTTTGATGCGGGATATTATACATATATTTATGTATATATTCATTTATATATGTATATATATATATATATATATGGCATATATACATATATATACATACATATATATATATATATATATATATATATATTAGGCGTCTTTATTTCGTACAATTCGTTTCAATTATGTTTTGGGTTCTCTTTGAGGCATAACCCAAGTAATACAATTTCTATATGTATGTGTATATGTTTTTCATTCGTATTTTCTAGAGTTGTGTTCTATATATCTAGCTCAAGGAGCGCGGGTATACATATTATTATTAACAGTTCTTAGTTCAGTTCTGTTCAATATAGTTAATCAATTGGGTATATACAACATTTAAATATATATGTATATATATATAAAACAGAATACAACACAAGAAACGGCAGAAAACAAATTATGAAATTTTTGTTGCTTAAGTTAAGACAAAAGGTCGCTTACGAAAAAAAAACTTTATACTTGGTACATAACGTTACACGTCTGAAGTCTGTCTTTTAAATGTATATTATAAAAAATTGTGCAACATGTTCCCAAAACCATTTATAGAATTTAAATGCCTGCACCCAAAGGCAGGCCATATAACAAAATGTATCTTTAACGAACTTTAGGCGACTTTTCGGAACATGTGAGAATACGTGTTGATATAAAAATGTTACTCGAATTGTTTGAACAAAATAAAAAATATACAATAATAATAAAGCACAACTCTACAAACTACTAAGTACATTTAGTTGTACACACAAAAATTGACTCTAGAACATGTTCAATATTGTTTCAAAAATAATTGTCTAAATCTTAATTTAGGTTTTCTTTTTTTTTTGTCATAAAGGAATGTTTTTTTGCTATTGGTTATTTGCCAATGTTTTTTGTTTTCGCTTTTGTTGTCGACGGTTATTTTTGTTTAGTAGGACTTTCTAAGTAATACTGCCGCTCTATGGGAATGGATGGGAATTTGTGGTTTTGGAGTCGGTTAAAGGTTCGATTTAGGGTCGGGTTTGTTTACAAGGTGCCTTGGTCCTTTGTTAGATGCGTTCATGGAATGATAATTTAGTGTTTAGTTCAACTTAGGCTCTAAATATGTTATGTGTTATCTGGGTGGCGTATACGAACATGCTTCTTTAAGTACTTAGTAACTAGCTGTAAACATTAACTAAAAACAACAAAATACGATTAATAATTCTACAAATATAAGTAAAGTTGCCACAGACAAAAAAAAAAAAAACATGTTAAGAAAATAATCGTTAGCTAGGATGTTGTGTGTATGGGGTATGAGGGGACCACAAAAAAAAAAAATTTAGAAGGTGGGCATGGGACTCATCTTAAAGCTTTTTACTGCCATCAATATCGATGCTCAGATCCGGTAGCGAGCCGCGTGCATGCAACAGGCTACGCTTCTCCGGGTCCTTGATCTTCTTTGGCTTGGGTCTGTTCGTTTTTGTATACCGATTGATCACACCATCCGTCTCATCCATCATACGCAATATAAGCGTCTGATCAGATGAGTCTAGCGGCGCTATTGAGATATCTCGCACGGCACGGAATTTACCGCAATTGTTCAAATGCTCGTTCTCCAAGCGGAAAAAGTTCCAAACGAAGCGACTGTCAAAGAACGTAAATTGAATTACAATTAAAGCATAGAAAATGTCGGGATATGGCTTTACCGAAAGACTTCCAGAATGCCCGTTATGGAGGTCATTATATCGCCGCTCACAATTTTCATTTCAGTCAAATAAAAGGACAGCGCCCAGATGAAACGCAGCGCCAGATCCTCCAATATGGCAAAGTAATAAAAGCCCTGATTGGAAAACATTCAAACCAAATATTATATTATGGATTTTCAATTAGTTAGCAGCTGGTTACGCACCGTAGACGAGTAGACGACCTCCTCGCGTAAGAAGGTATTCTCGCCGGCATTCTTATCAAACAAGCCCCAATCCATTTTAATATCCCAGGTGTACGAATAGCAGGATGAGACTATAGAAGCCACAATCCACAGCCAGGTGTATGGATTATCAAAGGTGCTCGCATAGTTGGCTGGCATGCAATAGAAAGAGATAGCAGCATGTCTGAGCAAAAAGAGATACAACAAACAATTACTTACGACTGTTGAAGCTCTTCAGCGTGGCGAAGATGACCACCATAAAGGTTGTTGAGTATTTGCCCGCATTGACCAGATGGGGAAAGGCTTCCCGGGTGTCGCGATAACGTCGCAGGCATTGCGCAAAACGAAACCAGGCAGGCAGGCAATTGACAATGGGTCGCACTATGAAATCCTTTTCCATGCATATGGACGCATCCACCGCCTCGGACCAGTTGCCATTAGTAAAGTAAAAGCATATGAGATACTCAAAATCCAAAATGGCAGTGGCCAGGGAATTCAGCTGATCGCCCAGCCAGAAATCGGCAAAGCCCACATGAAAGAACGGCGCCGCCAGGCAGCGTCCCGTGATGCGCAACAGCCAAAAGCGTGCATCATGATGCAGCACATGAAACGGATTGGCCAGAAATATCACCATAATGAGCGTCAGGGTTAATGGATTGATAAAGGCCGGTATGCTCAGGCTGGCGCTGTACAGAAAGCTCAGCATGCTCAGTGTCCAGACGACGCCAAATATGGCCGCCAGCTCCATGAGATGCTGTTCCGACAGATGATTTCGCGGATCCAGCTCGAAGATGAGCACATGATTAACACCAGACGAACGCCAGCCGTAAATGTTAACGCCAATCAGAAAGATAAACTCAATGATCAGCAACGGGCCGCGATACAGGCGAAATGTGACCTTCAGATTCTCTCCGGTTATGTCGTGAAATATCGCAGACAGCACCACCACAATGCCCAGCACAATGAAGCTGCCGGAGAAGAGGCCCACCTTGAATGTTGTCCACGGGCTCTGCTGTTCGCCCAACGGCGGCACACGCAATCGTTTCATCGCTCGCTGTCGATCGCCGCCCTCCAGCTCTCCCGTGACCGTCGTTTCCGTTTCATTGATAATGTTGTCGATGTCTTTGTTGATAAAGAAATGCGAAGCCTCCACATACTCCTGACGCCACTTGGCGCCACTGTCCACGCGCAGCAGCTGGAATTACAAATGAAAAGCACTTGAAATAATATTTCTAAAAATGCATAAGCTTTTAGTTAAAAAGCTGACTAATTTGCTAAAGAAACTATTTTACTCTAAATTTAATTCAATTTAAAAATATATTGCTGATTAAATTTGAACATAAATAATATCTAAAATTGAATATTAAATTAAATTGTCAAATATTGAAATTAAATCTTTTTCTTTAAATCTTTTTTAAATCTATAAATACTTTAATAAATTGTTTAAATATTTTAGCTAAATGTTTGAATATCTTAATTAAATTTTTGTTTAAGTGTTTTCATTAATTGTTTTAATATTTAAGTTAAATATTTAAATGTTTAAATATTTTAATTAAATGTTCAAATATTTTTATTAAATATATAAACCCAAAAATAAGCAGATATTCAAATAATCAATCGGATTATTTGCTTATTTTATCATCTAAATCACATATTAAATTTAGTTAAGCTTTTAAACATTTTAACATTTGATTACGATTGGCAACATGGCTCACCTTATCATGCTTTTTGAGTATTTTACGAAAACCCGTATGATTCAGATTCTGATAGTTCTGCAACAGAATAAGACTCAAATAGAACTCGCTGAAGGCCAGTTTCAGCTCGCGGGCCTTGCGATCCGGCAGCGCTGCGTGTCGTTTCTGGCCCTTGGACTTCTTGGCGGTACGTTCGGACTCCTCAATGCTGGACTTTAGCTCCGCATTGAGTGTGGCAAACTTACGCGTTGCCTCCGCCAACTTTTCCGAATAGAAAGTGTTTATCTTTTTCAGTTCCTTGTCGCAATAGTGAAAGAAATTCTCATCGAAGTTAGCGAAATGCCGTTTGAGCACCTCATCCTCCACGCTGTCCACTGAGGGTGCCTCCTCGACGGCCAAATAAAGCATGGCCTTCATTTCCTGTCAAACAAAGAGCATAATAAGCATGAGGATATATATGATATATAGGCTGGAACTGTTACGAATAGGAATTGCAGCCCCGATACACTGAGCCTAAAAAGTATGTTGTTATGCACATCTACTCTCCTTCCTAATCTTCAATCTTCATATCATATTGCTGCTATGGAGCTGTTTATACAGCTTTTATATGAAAGTTTACAAAAACTGATTTGTTTGTTTATGAGATTAATGAGACGACAATTGATTTATATGAAAAACTGTTTTGTTTATGCAGATCAGCCAGATCAATCTCAGCTAAGAGTTTTGACTTTCTATCTCTTTCCTATACCCTCTCTTTCCTTTACCATCTCAGCTGCGTTCTTGATTAACTCTGATGTTAATAGTACGATCTCTTTGAAATTTTCAGGACTTAAATAGGGCGTCGCGATGTGTGTATATGCCAAAGCCCAAGACTGCACCTTCAACAAAAATGTTCAATTTGAGGGTATACGTAATGTATTTGTGTATACTCTATGAAAATCACATGGTTATCTTGGTTAACCAGGTTCTTATAAGCACTGAGATATGGAAAGAAAAACCTAAGCTAAAGTACCTTATACATGATTTTCTTGAAATATTTTGCTTCAAGAGGAACTAGGTTCCAAATTTTAAATATTTAGCTTTTGTAAGTTCTGCAATCGACGCCTTATTACATTAAGATTGAGAACATGTATACCAAAGATTTCTTTAAGCTGAATTGCAGTTTGTTCAACTTTAGCAGTGTTTCCCTCTAGAATAGGGGCTAAGCATTTATATAACTATATCTTTAACTATCTCAGTTAGATGTTGGGCTGTGTGGCAAGTCTCACCTCATAGTTGATGTACTGCTTGCGCCATTCGGGCGTTATGTGCGCCGACAGATGCTCCGCGAACTTCATGACGGCGGCCTTCTTGTTGTTGTCCTCGTAGCTGCTGCTGCTGGTTGTTTCGTGTCCCTGGCTAGGTTCTTATCCAACTGCGAGCCAGCACTGCAAACAAACAAACCGAAAAAGAAAAATAAAACAAACAAAATGAATACAATTTGTTCGCTTTGTTCACGACCGAGTCGTGGATAATTTAACGCCCGACTGCAGACGCCATGGGGCCGAGCCGAGCCGAGTCGAGCCGAAATCAATGCATATTCAGGCACCAAGAGTATATAGCATGCATCTAGATAATATCCAATCAGGCAAATTGGTAACAACCTTGTAAAACAGTTGGCAACTGTGTGCGCTTGCGGCTGATAAGACAAGACAAGCAAAGGTCTCTCTTTGAATACCCTTGCAATGCGTATTATAAAATATGTAAAGCATAGAATAGGCGTCTATACCAGCTCTCTGTATATCATTTATTCCCAGCCAGCATAGCCAAGTACTATATACGTAAATATATATGCTTGCCGCTTACATAGATGTCTATATATCTGCCCAACTATTTGCCTGACTATGCGAACTGTCTCAGTTATGAAGCTATTTTTATGAAACTTGGCATAGATATATGTATATATGTTGGAGTCGGCCGAATCGGATCACTATACTATATAGCAGTCATAGGAATGATCGTTTGATAATTGGATATTTCTATTAAAAAACCTTTTTGTTATTATAAATAAGATGCTGCTTACAAATGAGCATATCATCTCTATAGGAGGCTCTTTAGCTCTATAGGAGGAATCGGTCGAAACTTGAGTTGCTTTATGGAAAACCTTGATGTTCTTCAAGATATCTTGTCTGAACTGAAAAATCGTTTATCAATTGTTTCGTCTCAATCGTTGGGAAATAAGAAATTACCCTAAGAGCATTTCGAAGCTGTGCTGCGTTCGTATTAGAGTGGGGATTTCTAGTTCAATTTGCTGAATAAGTTCACGCGTTCATTTTCTGGCCGTGAACTAAATCGGTCATTTAGTTCACACGTTCATGAACGATGAATTCTGCTCAGCTATTCAGTCGCTCACGAACTATTCGCTTAGTTCAGTTATGCAGTCAAATCAAAATTGAAATTAAAATCCCGCTATCTTTTAAGTTTATTACGAACTGAACATCTCAAAAGAACGTATCGTTCAGGAACGGCTGAACTGCTGAATTGCATGCATTGTTCATGAACGACTGAACGAGTATCAAGAATGTATCGTTCATGACCGACTGAATAGCTGAACGAGTGAACTAAATCACTGAATAAGTTCAGTAGTTCATTCTAATGACCCGTTCAATCGAACTGGGTCTGAACTAAACGAAACAACTCTAGTACGTATGCAAGGGTATTTGAGCTTCGGTGTGTGTTAGCTTCTATGTACAAAGTTTATAAGCACATAGCTGTATGTTTACTTTTATTAGCGCTGCCCGCATAATAAGTTAAGCAAATTGGAAAATTTTTGTCGCTGCGCTGTGTTCACAAAGACGATCGCGTTTTGAATCAATTAATTGCACAAATATTTGCTCAAAAGCGGCAACAAGATGAACAACAACAACAACAACAACAACAACAACAACAGCTATGCTTGGACTTGGAGCCGGGTTGAGCTTCCGTTTTAGGACAATAGCCAAAAGGTAACTCGCGCACACACACACACACACCTGCACACAGCTGCGTGCGTTAATTGATAGCGTGTCAATATGTCAATTGCGTGCGTTCATTCAATTAATGTCAACATTTAATTCCAAATATAGATTTCAAATTGTCTGGCCTGATCGATTGGGCCATTCAAGCCGTATCGCATATGCATCAATATTTACAGCTACAAAAACAAACTGCAACAACAACAAGTGCGACAACAACAGCATGTGTGTTAAACACTTGTTGCCGTTATTTAGCTTATCTCTGCTCTGTGCACTGATTTTGTCTGCGGGCTTAGCTACGCGACGATAAGGCAGACACATTCGACAATCACACACACACATATTTGACAATCACACACACACACACACGCACAGCATGCACGCAAATATTTGATCAATAAAGTTGTCAAGCCAAAAGAAATGCAAGTCGTGCCTTCCTGGTTTGACTCACACAGCTTAAGCTCGGGCAGAATGAAAGCAGCGGCCAGCGCTGCCTGGACAGCGCTGATGATAACTGTTGTTTGTGCTGCCTCTGCCGCTGCCGCTGCCTCTGCCGCTGATGCTACTGTAAATCAACTGCGTTTGCGTTTTGTGCTTGAACCAGACAAAACTGTCGGCCCAATTAATTGACGGACGGCATCACGAGATTAGGTTGAACGAAATTGCTTTTCAATTACATAAATATTACACATCAATCTACATATACTATGCACCAAAGTGTCTCTGTTGACATACAAACGCTGGCTGGCTGGCTGCTGCTTGCAGCGCTGCTGCTGCTGCTGTCGCTGCTGCTTGTCCTGTTTGCTGGTTATTGTTATTGCTGCAGCTCGTTTTGTATTATTGTCGTTTTTGGTTGGCGGCACAAGTTAATTGCTATGGGCATATGTTAACTGGTATGCATTTAGGCCGACACTTAATCATTACTAATTGAAAACATTAACTAATTGGTTAAGTACACTTTATCACAGAATAGCGCGCACGGAACAACAAAGAACAAAAAGCAAACGAAACAAAATGCGAGGGCTGCAGCGCTACGCGTACGTTTATCGATGGGCAGTATTGGTAAATGCGCGCGAAAACCCTGATTGCCTATCGATGAGTATATTAACAATGGCTATAATGGGCAAATTCTTTTAAAATAGAGCACACAACCGTCTCGACAATTAAAGCATTCATATGCGAAATTTATTAAATGCGCTCAATGTGCATTTAATTGTGCTAGCAAGTATCGCGCGTTTCGTTGCCAACGCAACGATAGTCAGACTATCGATAACACGACCCATGCTCCGTGATATTGAAATAGTTCTTGGAAATCGCAAGCGACGCTCGCTCACAGTTTGCTCTCAGAGTTTTTTTACGCTAATAAATTGCAACGAATTTCGCAACTAAACGACACGTGAAACTACGCAGTTTCCGCTGCTGGAAATGAGTACGAACCTAAAGAATCTAAAGATGGGCCACTTCGGCGGCGGCGGCGCTGGCTACAGCATGTCAGCTGGCAAATTGCTTGCAAACAATAACACCAACGGCACCAGCGGGACAGGCGGCGGCGCAGGTGCGAGCGGCGCTGGCGGCAGCAGCAGCAGCGGCAGCAAATCAGCGTCCCATGCGACAGCCGATCCGGATGTCTTCCAAACGCCCAGCGGTGTAATAATACCGCTGATACGCAGCAGAGATGTGCCTAAGCAGCTGCCAACGCTGACCGTCGCACTGCAGCGTCCCGCGGACGAGCATTTGGCTGCAGAGGATCTGGATGCGGTGCAACTGGAACTGGAGCTAATGCTCTCGAATGTGGCGTTGCGTGCGCGCGTTTTAAAGGCTGAATACGATAGCTTGGACAAGGATGAGAAGCGTCAGGATCGTCGAAAATTTGAGCGCATGGCGCCCTGCTCACCGCCCACAAATGCGGGCATGCTCAATGGACTGCTGGGTCTGGGCGCCAACAACGTCGGCAACAGCAGCGGCATTGGCAGCCCAGCGCAAGCGACGAACTCCAAGAGGAAACTGCGTGACGAACCAACGGGCGTGCGTAAAAAACACTCATCCATGACGATAGTCAAGCAGCAGCAACAGCTGCAGGGCTCCAAGCACATGGCCAAGAACAGTCCGCTGGCTGTGCACACGGACGACAGCATGGACTACGTATCGCTGCCCGCCATCCAACAGCAGCAGCAGCAGCAGCAACAGCAACAATCACAACAGATGATACTGCCTAAGGTGGCGATGCCTAAAAACGATATGCCAAACAAGTTTTGGCTATCGGTTGAGCCTTATTGCATGCCACTGACCAATGAGGATTTGCGACTGATTGATGATCTACTAGAGCAATATCGTGGACCATTAGTGCCGCCGGTGCCCACACTGGGACCGCACTATTCCACAGTTTGGGCGCAGGAGGATATGAAGACGCTGCAGCCGGGCGGTGCACGTCAGAAATCTCAAAATGCCAGCGCCATGCTGAAAAAAGCGGATGGTATGCTGGAGGAGAGCATAACGGGGCCGCTCACACAACGCCTCGTCTCGGCGTTAATGGACGAATCGCTGCCCAGTGAACAGGCGGCGGTTGGCGAGCACAGCAATAGCAGCAGCAACGAAAACACACACTCCTCATCCACCAGCCATGCGGCGGGCGGTGCAGTTGCCGCGGGCAACTTCCGTTCGCTGGCCATGCTCAAGCACGGTGTGGGCATTGAGCAACGACTGAAAAAGGAGCTGGTGGATAGCGGACTGATCGATGCCAGCGAGATGGCCGCACACGAGGATGTGGACGAGGTGCTGCTGGAGATAAAGCGCGTCACCGCCGAAATAAATAGCGTGGCGCAATTCAACAGCGATGAGCTGAAACGATTGCGCGCCGCCGCCAGCGAGGAGATCAAACGCATCGAACTGAAACGTAAACTGGATACAATCGATCAGGAAATTCTCGAGTGCTACAAACGTATGCTGCAGTACCGGGCCAAGCGAAAGGGTCACACCAGCGAGGAGAAGCAGGAGATATTGCGCTTGACCAGCGAACAGCGAGCGCTCGCCGAGCAGCTGGAGCGCATGCAGTTACTGGGCGCCGGCGATGGAAAATTGTAGGACAGGAGCTTGGCCTGGGGCTGGCGCCAGTTAATGGCACTGCATCGGGCGGCGCTGCTGTGGCAGCAGTGGGAGCGGCATAGCGTTTGGAACGATATCAGTTTACAATTGCAATGTGTATAAAAAGCAAATATAACTAACTAATAAGACATAACAAATTATGGGGAAAAACTAATCAAATTTCACTGCTTAACTCGCCAGTTTGTAAATTAGCAAACCTCTCACACATTCACACTATGTACACCTCTATAAACACACACACACACACATACACACACACACAAAAGATATATATATATATACACATATATAGTTCGTACATACAATTTTTATATAGCCTTAAGTTAATTGTGCCAGGCAATAAAACTTGTCGCTGTCACCCAAATATCGTTTTCGCCAATCTCCTCTGCTCCTCTGCTCCTTCAGGTTGTACACCAATCCGAACACCACAAGCGATCGGCACACTTTGAAACCCAAACCAGCTGGAGCTGCACCCCTAACCCACCCAAAGACTGGCCGGGCACAGGCAGCGGAAGCACAGCTGTTTGCTCTTCGATAAGGCGAGGACGCCTCCAGCTGGAATTCGCCTAATTAAAATTAAACAAGCACAAATTCATAAATTATTTATCAACAACAACGCACACCGACACTCGAATACGCTGCCAAACTGTTTTTCGCTCTGTCTCGTATCTATATTTCAGTTTCTTTCTATCTGCCTATCTCGAGCTGTTCCCTAGATAACTGATGTCTCGTCGCCTGATAGATATATGGACGCACTAGTTTATCGCCTCAATATGACAGCAGCGCTTAAATCATTTCAAATATCATCGGTCAAGTGCTTTAGTCTTCTCTTGTGTTTATAACATTGCCTTAAGTCTTCTATATGGTGTACCTTACAATTTTCCCTGGATATTTTATGGTATGATTATATATTTTGAATTCCCTTTGCCGCATGAAAGTTGCGAAAACGATGGAATCGCAGTCTCGGACCCAATCCGGAAACCGTTTTAACACTATGCTCTTCAGGTGCTATCTCTTTTCATGGAATGGAAACCTTAAACAAATCTCAAGCATAAACAAATGAATTGTGAGAAAATATAATGCCAGCTAATTTCCAGGGCTTATAAACTGGAAATGGAAAACGCAATCAAAGTGCAAACAGCATTTCATTGTATAAACTTTATTTCTTACGATTCAGTAAACAACTTGTGTGGTGTATGTTTGTATATGGGAATGCTATACACATAAGTACGTATATATGAATAAACCAAATAGATAGAAAATTAACATATATATCTATATATATACATAAATATATAGGTGTTTATATTGTTGTATATACACGTAGACATGTGCAGAGCTTAATATATGCGATTGTACTTTATGTTGTCAGCGGTGCAGTGGTTCCTACTTCATCTTCCGTCTATCGCAGCGTCGATGCATCCAAACGACAAATGCCTATCACAGAAGCGGCAGTCTTTGCCTCGCCGGATGCTTTAGCGTACGCTATGAGGGCAGTGCATCAAACTCCGGCCGATAATCGTTTAGCAAATCGGAACGGCAGGAGACTTGTATGGCCGAGGCGTTCGCCTTGAGCCGCAAATTGTTATCGTTGGTCAGCAGCATCAGGTGTGGCACCTGCGTCTGCAGCTGCAGGCAGCAGTTGACAATGCTGTCGTCCGGGCAGTCCACCTCAATCAAATGGTCCGCCTCCTCCAGCGCCGATTGACCTAAGCGCAGTGAAAATGTACATATATAAATCAGCTGTCGATTAAAGTCTCAATCTAGTCTGCATACCTTGTATTTTGAGGCTGTCGTCAAACTTTTTATTCAAATAGCGTATGGCGCGAATGGCCGCCAGACGCTTCAGTTCGTTGTCATCGCGCCTGTCCTTGAGCTTGTCCAGTTCCTTGATGACTATATACGGTATATAGAGCATGCTGCCGTTTGTCTCGCCCAATGCCACATGGCACAGATCCTCCACAAACAGCAGATTATCCATTAGCACATTTGTGTCCAGCACAAAGTACATGTGATCCAAGCGACGTGCAGGCAAATCCTGCCCAGTTGTTAACAGACGCTGCATCTTTATGCCCGATATATCCTCCTGCTCCGACACGCTGTGATTCTTGTTCAAAGACAAATCATGCTGGCTATTGGAAACCTGTAAATAATTTATATTATTAGCAACGATAATGACAAATAATTGTGCATATACGAATAGGAGGACACCTGGCAAGGCTGGCATTTGAAATACGCACCACTTTAACGCTGCTGCTCGCTGCTGCATCGTTGTCCTCCTCCTCTTGCCAGTCTATATCCATGGGTTCCACATCATCGTTTGTCTTTACACAGGCGGGCAATGGGCTTGTCTTGGCGCTTTTTTGGATTGTTGGCAGTTTCTTGCTGGCCAATGTAGATTCACATTTATTGTTGTTGTTGAACTCCTTTTGCTGTTGCTGCAGTGACTCGCGGAGTTGCAGCAGGCGCTGATTGGCTAGGGGCAGCAATACTCATGAGCAGAGCGCACACTTGGAAAGGTTAATAATAGCTTACCACTTATGGAGCGATTCCTTTCTAGTCTATTGCTAGCATCGAGCAGCGCCTTGGGCTTGGCCCAGGCATTCTTAGCACCAATGTGCGAAGCGTTGGCCGGCTTGTGGACGGCAGAAGCTCCACATCTTTGACTAAAACTATTTGAGGCTGCGCTGGCCTGTGGCTTGACCGTGGCCGGCACAGGCCTTGTCTTCTCCGGAAAGCAAAAATTCTTCAAGCTTTGGAAGCCCTTCGACTGTCTGGGCGTCTCCACTGGCGTCTCACCAGCTTTCCGTGTTCTGTGGAATGTGGCAGTGGCGCTTGTGCTGGTCGCGGTGTTGGTGGGTGGGCTGCTGGTGGGTGGGCTGCTAGTCAGGCTGCTGTTTCTGGTGCTCCGTTTGGTCGCGGGTCGTTCTTTGTCTACTTTGACGCTCTTTGATAGCTTCAAATTTGTCTGCAAGCGTTTGAGCCGTTCCTGTGCGGGCTGCTTGGTTGCGCCCTCTGTGGACATGTCCGTAAATTGTAAACATTTTAACGTATTCAATATCTAACAAAAACTGACGGATTCTCACTTACTTTGCTGCTGACGTATATTTAAGATGACTTGGCTTTCGGCATCGTTGTCGATGGCTCTATGCTTGGCTAGTTTAAGGCTACATTTGCGTTTTTCGCCATCCATTGCGCGCCGTGCAACATATAAACACGTTTCCAACTACGCATAGATCCTAATAAACAACGGTAAAAAACAATAGTGACAGCAATCAGCTGTTTGCCTGCTGGCCTACGGCTATCGAAATCGTTACGATAGTTGGTTGCTACGGCATAATTTTGAGTACTATTTAATAAATATGTTTTGTGCGCTTGGGTAAATAGTTTTTATATTATATATATAGTTTTCTTATTGTTTACATCTACAAGCAGCTTGTCATTGGTTGTTAATAGCATACTCGAAAATATGTGACTTTCGCGTCACAATCGATAGCCACAATATCGTAATCACGTACCATCTCTTGTTTGGTTGCTTTGGTATTTCGAACATCGAACAAATTAGCTTAGCGATATATCGATACATATTGCACAGCCCTAGTCGCCATAATAGCAACCGGTGTTTTTTTTTGCTGCAAGCCAGAGATAGTCAGTCTTCCAGATTTCTTAGCGGTTGCCTAATCAATTGTTTCTGATTTAACACAAAACCACTCAACATGATTAAGGTAAGCATTGTATATAGTATTTATGCGAATAAACAATATGCCTGTCTGGTTCATACCAGGCTGATTAAGTATTACGTTGGCGACTGTGATCCGGCCAACGGGTGCAAAGTCCAATTGGGACACCAATTGTCTGCTAAGAATAACTGTATGTGTACCATGTACCTTGTACTCAAGCATTCACGCGCCGCTTTCTCGTTACACAATAATTAAATAGATCGTTCGCCCTTATCAGCTGTTAACACTGATTATCTGATTATCACTTGCAGAACGTTGTCTCCCTGGTGACTGGTGGCGCCTCCGGCCTGGGCCGTGCCACAGCCGAACGTTTGGCCAAGCAGGGCGCCAGCGTTGTGCTCGCCGATCTGCCATCGTCCAAGGGCAACGATGTGGCCAAGGAGCTGGGCGACAAGGTGGTCTTTGTGCCGGTCGATGTGACCTCCGAGCAGGATGTGAGCGCCGCTCTCCAAACGGCCAAGGACAAGTTCGGACGTCTCGATTTGACGGTCAACTGTGCGGGCACAGCAACCGCCGTAAAGACGTACAATTTCAATAAGAACGTGGCCCACAAACTGGAAGATTTCCAGCGCGTGATCAACATCAACACGGTGGGCACGTTCAATGTGATTCGTCTGTCCGCCGGCCTGATGGGCAGCAATGCGCCCAACCAGGATGGCCAGCGTGGCGTCATTGTGAACACCGCCTCGGTGGCCGCTTTTGATGGACAGATTGGCCAGGCCGCCTATTCGGCATCGAAGGCTGCCGTTGTGGGCATGACCTTGCCCATTGCCCGCGATCTGAGCACCCAGGGCATACGCATCTGTACGATTGCGCCGGGTCTGTTCAATACGCCCATGTTGGCTGCGCTGCCGGAGAAGGTGCGCACATTTTTGGCCAAGTCGATACCGTTCCCACAGCGTCTGGGCGAGCCCAGCGAGTACGCCCAGCTGGTGCAGGCCATCTATGAGAATCCGTTGCTCAACGGCGAGGTCATCCGCCTGGACGGTGCCCTGCGCATGATGCCTTAAACGGAACATGGGTTGCACTCGAGATCAGTTTTGCATTTAACGGAGCGCTTGCTATGTGTGTGTTTTATCCTCTTTCTCTCTAGTACATAGGCTCAAAGTTTTTGTTTTTGCATTCATTTTGTAATTGTATAGAATAAAAATGCTGGGATTTGAATTTCAAATTTGCGATGCCTCCTTGGCTTTGATAGGCTCAAGTGTATCGATAGCAGCTGGTATTTGTTTTAGTATTTCTTTGGACCGAGCACAGAGTTTGGCGTTTACATCGCTAGCGCGCTCTGGTCACACTGGAAACGACGCTGAAACGACGTCGGAGTTTTGGACGAATAAAATAATGCTGAAATTGAAAGCAGCAGCCGAAAAACAATTGCAATGTGTGCAAATGCAAGCAATCAATATGTGTTTATTAACAAAGTGCGTGTGTTAAGCAAAAAGTGCGATCTGTAGGCGTGTAGCAGTGCAATCGCAGCCAGGCAAGAGAGAGCCAGTGCCCAAAGCCAAAGGCAAGTGCAATGAAAATTGTATGCGCCGTGGAATTGTAATGAATGCTAATGCATTTGCTGTGTGTGTGTGTGCGACACATGTATAAAAAGCACAAAAGTGTGTATTTGTGTGTGTGTGTGTGCCTTAGTGTCTGGCTATGTGTACGCGAGAGCCAGGAGAGCAATAATTAAATTAAGCAAAGGTGTTACGTGCATGTGAGCTGCTGCTGCTGCTGCTGCGTCGCTGCCTGTCTGCGCGGTGTGTGTGTGTGTGTGTGTGAGCGCCCAGTTGTGTATATACAAAGTGACAAAAATTCTAATTAGAGTTATTTGTTATCACTATATCCCCTTCCCGCTCGCTCGCGCACACCAAAAATACATATTCAAATTGCAATAACGCTTGACTTCTCGCATTCGCATTAAAATAGCGGCATTCAGTTATCATAAAAAAAATTACTACAGCGCACGAGTTACTACGAAAACGACGACGACGACGACGATGATGCTGTTAACGTCGGTAGCGGCAGCGCAGTAGCGTCGCATTTCCCGGCTACTCCTTTGGGCAGATGCTGCTGGGCGGTGCTGGCTTCGTGTATATATATATATATATATATATATGTGTGTGTGTGTGTGTGTGTGTGTGTGTGTGTGTGTGTGTGTGTGTGTGTGTGTGTATGTGTGTGTGTGGAGGCGTACTACACACAGCGCTGCATTTTTTACGCACTCAAATGTTTTGGCATTGTGTTAGTATATGCATGTGGGTGTACGTGCGTGTGTGTGTGTGTGCATTTTTAAATTGCCAGCGACGGCGTCAGCGCATTTGCCCAAAAGGTAGCAAAAATCTACGCCCAAAATCTACTACTATATTGGCAACAATTTCTGCGCACAAGCAAATGCTGTGCGAAATGCTTTGGTTGTCGGCAAAGAAGGAGGAGGCGTTGGGTGGGTGGAGCGGCTTGTTGGGCGGCGGGCGGCATTAAGGCGCACGCAACTGTCATTGACCTTCAATTCGGTGCAGCATTCGCTGCATTCGTTGCTGCCTCTGCTGCTGCTTCTGCTGCTGCAACAACGTCGCCGCACCCAAAGGTCATATGATGTGTGTGCCGCGCTGCGATGTATGTCATCAATTAATCAATTTATCAATTAATCAACCGTTAATTGGCATTGAAAGCCGCAACTACGCACCGTGAACCAAATGAACGTGTGTGAACCGGAACTGTCATTCAAATATTTGATTCAGGTTCAAAGAATTTTCGATAGTTCGCCAAATGAACTAATTCGATCATTTTACATATAAACAAACAAAAATGTACCAGGATTGGGATTAGGAACTGAAGTCGGAACAGTTTCAAATTCAAACAGCCTGCGAAAACGAAGCTAATGCGAAAAGCTGGTTTTTCAAATTTATCATAAAATCAGTTTATAACAAGCTATACCGTGAACCAACTGGTTCATTGCATAACTCAATATTTGGCTTTAAACTTATTTGAAACTATTCAAAAGCAGCGAAAAGAACTAATCAATCAGTCCTCTAATGAATCGTTGATTGATCAAATCAGTAAACTGAGTTAACAAAAGCCCTTCGCAAGCAGCACAAGGAACTAATCAATCAGTTGATTGATCAAATCAGTAAACTGAAGTAACATAAAACTATTCAAAAGCAGCACAAAGAACTAATGAATCAGTCCTCTAATGAACCGTTGATTGATCAAATAAGTAAACTAAATTAACATAAAGCCCTTCGCAAGCAGCACAAGGAACTAATCAATCGGTTGATTGATCAAATCAGTAAACTGAAGTAACATAAAACTATTCAAAAGCAGCACAAAGAACTAATCAATCAGTCCTTTAATGAACCATTGATTGATCAAATAAGTAAACTGAATTAACAAAAGCCCTTCGCAAGCAGCACAAGGAACTAATCAATCGGTTGATTGATCAAATCAGTAAACTGAAGTAACATAAAACTATTCAAAAGCAGCACAAAGAACTAATCAATCAGTCCTTTAATGAACCATTGATTGATCAAATAAGTAAACTGAATTAACAAAAGCCCTTCGCAAGCAGCACAAGGAACTAATCAATCAGTTAATTGATCAAATCAGTAAACTAAAGTAGAAGGGTATTTTTTTGTTGTGCCGACAAAACCGTTCACAAAGTGTACCAAACGAAAAGCCAACTAGCTTGGCTAGCTGATCAATCAATTAATCAACTAATTAATTTTCTCTCCTCTTTTAGCTTGCTGCACACACACTCTCACACACCTCCCACACAAGCACACACACACGCACACGCCGAACACGCACACACACTGAACATGGAATCGTCCATTAAGCTTAAGGAGTGCAACAGCTCGAATGGCAATCCGAATCAGAGCCTCAATCAGAATCAACTGTGCAATGGCAACAGCAACTGCACAGGAAGCACGACAAACGGCGTATCCGTTAGCATTTGCAGCAGCGACAGCTTTAGCAGCATGATGCCGCCGCCGGCAACGCCGCGCGACCACGAGCTGGTCAGCGCCAACAGCATCGAGCTGAATGCGGCCGCATCGCTGAGCGATGACAGCGGCGTTCCGTTGACCACCAACAGTTCCATATCCAGCGGCGATTCCTATCGCATTGGCATGTGCAAATTCGAAATTGAGGTGAGTTTCACAATTGATTCCGTTTCCCTTTCGCTGCCGCTGACTGTTTCGTTTATTTGCGGCAGATGGTGGAAAGTGACGGCGAGGTCTCGCAGTTTGATTCGCTGGACAACTGCTCGGAGGGCGGCATGAGCGCGGAGAACTTTAATACGCTTAAAAAGGGGCCGCTGGCACCGATAGATCCACCGCCCGAATTTCAGGATTCGCCGCAAACGACCCTGGTGCGCTCCATCTCCAAGAACATTGTGAACAGCCTGCGCCGCTGGACCTCATCGCAATCGTCGTTCGAGCATCTGAAGGACGATGTGACCATGGTCAGCGCAGCGGTGGCCAGCGGCACAGCCAGCCAGGAGCTGGTCCTGTTGCTGGCCAAGCCGATGGCGGACAACAACAGCAGCAGCAGCAAGCTGTTGGGCAGCGATGCCGCTGCCGTGGTGGTCAGCACACAGCCGGGCGCGGCAACGGTGTGCGGCATGCTCTGCCAGGAGCGCACGCTCAAGGAATCGTATGCCATTAACAAGCATTTATATTCGAGCGATTCCATACTGAACAGCCATACGGACAACATATACGACGAGCCCAACAACATAATAAGCAGCTCGCTGGGCAACAGCATCGATCTGCTGGACGAGGACGATGATGATGACGACGATGACGAGGACGAGGGCGAGGAGGACGACGAGGCTGCCTCCGAGCAGAGCAGCTGTTCGCCATCGCTGCCATCGCCGCCGCCGCCCGTTTCCATAATTAAAATCAAACAGACCTTGTGCCCCTACTATCAGGATCATACGCGCTACTTCAAGGCGATACCCACGGAACAGGATAGCATTGCCAGCGCCAAGGCGGCGGCGGCACAGCAGCGCTTCAATACCGCCGGCCTCTCCGAGATACACGACTATGATTTGTATTATGGCGGGCGTGGCAGGCAGCCGGCGCTGCAGCCGCAGGACAACAGCAGCCTGCAGCGGCGACAGCTGCTCTACAGCCCGCTGGGCCATACCAGCCATTGTCACTATCACTCGCATCATGCGCACTATCATCATCATCATCATGGAGCCCATCATCATCAGCATCATGGACACTATCAGCACGGTCAGCGGCCCAATTCACGCAACTCTCTCAACAGCCGGCTGAGCAGCTCGCACAATTCGCTGAACGTATCGTCGGCCAATAAGCCGGACGACTCGATCTTTATCACGCAGGCGATGTCGCATGATGCGCTCTTCACGCGCGAAATATCTGATTTCTATAATGTGCCCATCGATTCGGATATTTATGCGTTTCCCGTCGACATGATCGAACAGCAGCTGGAGCAGCAGCTAGAGAAGGAGAAGCAGCAACAGCAGCTGGAGAAGGAGAAGGAGACGCAGAAGCAGCAGCAGCTGGTGGAGAAGCAACAGCTGGTGGGCAACAAACAGTCGGCGGGCTATCATAAGGCCGCCAGCAGGCGCAACAAACGCAACAAGCGTAAACAACGCTACGCGGCGGGCGCTGCGGCGCCGGAGACCAGCGACGATGGCGGCGACAAGGCGGGCAAGCATGGCAAATATCGAACGCCCGTGGTGCAAACTGGCGAAACGGAGCCGCTGCACATGACGCTCGACGAGGTGAAACAGTTCTATCATACGCTCTACTCCGATGCGGGCAAATCCTCCTGGTGCGCTGGTGCCGGCGCCGGCGGCGGCGGCAACAACAAAATGCCAAACGCAGCGACGGGCAGCGGCAAAGCGCTGGGCGTTAAGTCCAGCAACGAGACCATCTGGAGCGTGTCCACGAATGCGACCAATACGACAAACACGACCACAACGACGGCGCGCACGCGCAGCAGCGCGGGCACCAATCGCGGTGGTGCGGACAGCGCTGCCAAATATCTGAGCAAGCAGAGCAAACATAATATTGACAATGATAAGCTGAACAACAACAACAATAACAACAACAGCAGCAGCAACAATTATGCACAACAGCAACAACAACCCGCCGCCGCAGCAGCAGCAGCAGCAGCAGCAACTGCCGCCACGAATACGTCTCT